GTATATCAATATCCCTCACGAAAAATACTAAAGTAAAATGAACCCTCTTATCTATGAATCAAATGAATGTGAAATCTCACGTGACAATAACTGACAACAATATTGTGAAATGCTTGACTTCCTAACAGATGAAATCTTTGAGAAATCTAAGGGCTGAGTGTTCAGACAATAAGAAGGTATCCCTGTGAGTTGGCCAGGAGGCTGAGGTTAAGCTTCATCTACTTGCGGGCGGTGGGGTAGCCTAGTTGTTAAACAGTTCGCCGAAGGTCGGGGTTCGATTCCCTACATGAGAACAATGTTTGAAGCCCATTTCTGGTGTCCCCCGCCGTGATATTGCTGGAATATTGCTAAAAGTGGTGTAAAACCATACTTTCTCACTCGTTTACTTGCACGAGTAATCGAATACGACGCAATAATGGTCACATGAGACGGTTCCTTTCCGCTGAATTTGTTGTCCTGGAAAAGACATAGAGGGGCGGGTGAAACTTCGTCGTCTCCTTTATTTAGATCTGTGCATAACAATGCGTAATGTGTAAAGAATGTACAGAATATACGTATGCAAAGCGGGGTCTCTTAAACGTTTAAACAATTAACCTTCCAGTTCTGTCAAGTCATATTCAGTCATCGCAAGCACTGATGTCCACATTACACAACCTTTGAGAATTCAGAATGCTCTTTCTGCGATATATTGGAGCTTGCTACGAGTCTCGCTCACAAGTTATTAGTAGGGTTACAATATAATATCTGAGGCCTTTGGAAGGCTTCGAATCGTTTTATCGTAACAAGTGGAGGGTATACCATCAGTGGTGAAAATGTCTAAAATATTACAACGGCGAAGGTCGCTGCTTGTAACAATACGTTCATGTCCACCTCGAGTGATATAGCTACACTCACTCACTCACTCACTCACTCACTCACTCTGACGCTCGCCCAGAAATACTCCATAACCCCCGCACCCCACAAACTCACTCATGAACCTGTGCATCAATGCCCCCCTCCAGGTTACACATATGAACCCATACCTTCTTAACAACTCAACCATCATTGGTCCATCGACCAATCTGCTATTTACCGACTATGCGGGTTAGAAATGGTCTCCAGCAGCTCATGCTTGTCGTACGAGGCGAATAACGGGAGGTCAGACTCGCTGACTTGGTTGACACATGTCATCGTATCCATGCGTAGATCGATGCTCATGCTGTTGATCACTGGATTGTCTATTTACAGGCCGCTAGCTGGAATATTGCTGAATGGGGCGTTAAACAACAATTAAACAAACTAAACATTCATTTACATATCTAAAAATACACTCACTCGCTTGATCACAGATCACTAATTATCACAGACTTTGATGCAATCACTCAGTGAAATACACACACGCACACGCACACGCACGCACACACGCACACACCCAGAGCAACTGGTTCACATCCCTTGCCTCGTTGCGACATTGATGGAGAGCACTCACTCACCTAGCAACGCTTGTCTCAATATGAGGCATATATAAGCAATATAAAGCATATATAGACAATATAAAGCCATATAAAGCATATTTAAGCAAATTTAAGCAATATGAATCATATATAAGCAATAAAAAAGCATATATACACATTCTAATGATGGTTGTCACCCCCTCCCCATCCCAACCCCCACACCCCCACTCCCTCTCCAATAAAAAAAATTGAAGGGAGTGACAACCATTATTGGCATGAGTATATAAACAATATAAAGCCATACAAAGTATATTTAAGCAACATGATGTATATATAAGCAATATAAAAGCATATATAAGCAATATAAAACATATATAAGCTCCTTTTGAGTACCCACTCGGCTTAAGCTCAAGACAATTAAACCTATTGTACTAGGAGTATAGAATCGGAGGCTCGTCTGAAATCCAATAACTCGTTCATGAGAAAACAACAAAACATCGTTCTAGTTTTCCGTCCCGTGTTTTTCCTTGTAGTACATGTGTATTTTACTGATAAACTGACTGATTTCAGCCAGGGTCACTACCTGAGTTAGTGATTAGACCAAACATTCAACCAGGCTGGTCAGGGCTACTCCAGCGGAGAGAGGCTCAAGACCTGGAGAAACACAGGTGAGTCTTGGGACCCGCTCATGGTCATTCGGGACCCACTACGTAATGAAGGTTTTCGGGATAAATTTGTGTAAGAAACAGGATATAAAGGTTGAACTGAAGACGTATTTTCTTTTCATAACCCATCAGATATCGAGCTTGTCCAGCCAAAATGAACCCTATTGGTAAATGGTGAATGCATTTTTCATGTTTCTCTGGAGCAAAGTAAAGTAAATAAATATTCCCATTTAGTGTCATCGTGTCCGTTTACTACTGGTTGATGTTTTACATATTTGGGAAAATGGAAACTCAAATATGATTCGACTGATGCAGATTTACATTTTGACTGAAATAACTAATTCCGTTAAAGCGTAAAATATGTTTACTTGTGGAAATATATTTCCAATATTCTTTGTGGTAGTTCATATTACCTCATTGTTTCTGTGGACATGTTTCAAACAACTAAAGTGACCTTGGCTTCCAATTTTCTTCACGAAGGAACACAGTATACCAAATATTTGTACAAAAGGTAAAATGGACATTTAAATTCTGGTAACCGTGACTTTAGGCAAATATTTATATTTTACTGAACTTGTAGTTGTCCAAACAATGTGTCAGTTCTAAAAAAACATTAAATGCATTTAAAAGTTGCATTAATGCATTTAAACGAGACCAAGAAACACCTCGATCGCTTTCCTCGTGTGTTTGTGTACACATTGCGTCAATCAATGGAAATCCTTTGGATGAAGTACAAGAGCTTCAGAACATTTGCAGACACAGTGTTATGCTTTCTATAACGTGGCTGAGTGGCACATCAGAGTACGAAAAATGTCAATATAAACGTGAATATAAATACCGACATACATAAACAGAAGATACAGTTTAGTTAAAACCACAGTTATAGTATGTCCATTAAACCATTTCCAGTTATTAATTATACAATTAATGAAATATGATAAATGCAACTTCAATTTGCCTTTCAGATGCAAGAATGAGGGTCATCCAACAGGTCGCATTTGTCTTGGTTTGGCTGTGTGCCCGGATGTGTGATGGAGCCTCGCTTTCGTCGGGAGGGCCTAATGGCAACCACGCAGCAAGCAGACCTCACGACACGGTGTTTTTGTTGCAGTTTTTTCCACATTTGCTGAGAGAGAGCAACGACCCTGCGACAGGCAAACGCGATATTACCACAGCCTTCTGTCAGACAAGCGAGTGTGTGAAGCTTATGGAAGCGTACAAAGCTCAACACCTCAACAACGACGGAGGGCTGTTCTCTGGAAGATGGGGGTAGATGGCACTTTATCTGTCACCTGAATAAATTATCTGACTCCAAGGCAAGGAAATGACTTGTCCTAACTATTGCCTACGCTTCGAAGAATCGATATTGGAACTGAGTGTATACTATTACCCTTATGTAAGTTTTGAAAGTGTCTCATGTTTTCTCGGAATCAATGTGAATACACGGTGAAAATGGACCATTGTACGTGATTCATAATGTATTAGTGAGTATCTGGCAGTTCTGACAGTGCAGGTAGCGGAATCACTCGACATTCCTCGAGTGAAAAGTGCCGGACACCAACCACATGAATCCGTCGGCCTCGTGCCATGTTAATGTTGTAATACATCGCCATTTGTAATAATGTGACCCCTACTTACGTTAACTGAAATACATGTCACCATTCATTGTCCTTTGTACGACTGTCTGCAACAGTTCCTCGGAGCAACCACCGAGCATAAAGAAACCAAGACAAAACTATTCTTCCCTTGCAAAGAAAATTGGTTCGAAACAAGGAAGCTGCACAACAGCCACTTATTCGTAAACATAGAAAGTCAGTACAAAGGATACCCAATCTTCACTATCCTCAGAAACAATTTCCGCTTGGTGCAAAGGGTGAAATAGCTATGAAAACAAGAATGAATGACTGCATATCAGTGATGACACCAGGTGTTCGCGAACAGTTTGCATATGTCTTGATCTACCGGTAGCACCCACCATTCTGATATTTGCCTAAAGATGGAAGTATGTTTTGCCTGCTGCTACACGGAAGTACTCTTACCATATGGCGACGCCGTGTAAACAAACCAGACAATCAAGTGATCGAGGGACCGGAAAATCCAGTTAGATAATTTGAATTACGACTGCTGTGTAGATGTACAGAGACTCCGATGTTGATGTGTGTGTGTAAAGAAAATATAACGTTATGGAAATATATAGATTAGTTTTACAACACATTGGTGTCAGTTTTAATGTATCAGACAATACATTTCTTTTGTAGCTGACTCAGATTAACTTAAACAAGTGAACTTTAAATAAGCTACTGGGCTAATCATGAATCTCGTGGACTTCAGCTCACCAGCAGAAATATCATCCCAGCTGAATGAACGATGACAAAAGCATTTACAAACGTTATCAGAACCATACTAAGCTTAAACAGTCGCCGTACATCTGCTGACGTAAGGTCCATATCCACATTCATGGATACCCACAACATCCACACTATATCCATCAGCACCTTATCACTATGTCTTGTATATTTTATATTTATCTTCCATCAAACATGAACGCATACTTTTTATTGCCTGGCAGTTAAAAACAATTCTGTTTCAAACAAGAATTGTGTCTTTTAAGACTGATTGGTTGGTTAGTTGTTTAACGCCCCACTCAGCACTATTCCAGCTATATAGCAGCGGTCAGTAATTCGAGTCTGGACCGGACAATCCAGTGATTAACAGCATGAGCATCGATCTGCGCGATCGGGATACGATGACATGTGTCAACCAAGTCAGCGAGCCTGACTACCGTAAGTCGCCTTTTACGACAAGGTTGTTGAAGACCAGTTCTAACCAGGATCTTCACGGGTAGTGTCTTTTCAAGAACATCGGTCAATAGCAAATCTATGTATACAACAAACAGCGCGTATAAGGCGAGGTTTTATATTTTCTTTTGGGATTATTCATGACATAAAACATGGACAAAGGCATTTGTATGTTGTGTCGTGTGTAGTTTTCACCTCTGTTTTCCTATGAGATGTTTGAAAGTCAGTGACTGGTTTCCTATAGAGGTATACTGTTCATATCAACAGCAAAATCTTCTATTAATAGGTACAGTTGGTGATGCGACTACTTTGTTCTGAAAATCAGGATGCCACAGCCATTGGTCCCAGTTGTGCGTTGTCCAGAAAACGTTTTGGAAAAAACAGTAGATAACTCTGATATACACTGCTTGGTGGTTGTAATTACAAGGAACACGGGAACAATGGTAGAGCACAATGGGTTGCAGTAGGACAGCATTAGACATAACTCACTGATACACACCTTCTAGGGGTTATAACGACAATCACAAGGAAAGGGATAAAGAATCCTTTAGTACTGAATTACTTTCCCCAGCGACCAGAAGTAGATCCAGATCCTCCATGAAGGCGCAGCCATTCATCATACTGCCCCATCAACTTGAAACATTCCTCCGTCTGGCAGAAGGCGGTCACGGTCCTACGTCGTCTGTTTTCAAGGTTTCCGAAGTGTTTTGTGTCGAGTTGATGTCGCATTGGCATCAGGACTGTCCTGATGGACCTCCTCGGTACCTCCGACAGCCGCGCGGCCTGTGTCTCTTCTTCCGGTACAGTAACGCCATCTGTCGACGTGGAACACAACAGGAGCGTGACAGCTAGGACCAACGTTAACTTCATGTCTGAAAAGATGGAAACGTGCATTACAATCACACATTTAATTTAGAGAGAGAGAGAGAGAGAGAGAGAGAGAGAGAGAGACAGAGAGAGACAGAGAGAGAGAGAGAGAGAGAGAGAGAGAGAGAGAGAGAGAGAGAGAGAGAGAGAGAGTGTGTGTGTGTGTGTGTGTGTGTGTGATGTCATGGGATGACTGCACCTTTCAACAGAAGATCACTGTGTTATCACTTAATAATAATATTGGATATGTGGATCACTTAAATAAACCAAATATAATCCGGAACACTATCTACTTCGAACGGCGTCTGACGCAGCGAACCTGAATTTTCACCTCTTGGCATAACGGAAACCTATGGTCTGGGGTTCGAATCCCCATTTGTCTTCGTGTTTCTAAATTTTGTCAGCGCGATACTGTGCTTCACCAAAGCTGGAAACGTCGAAAGATTCATCACTTCCTCCTACATCTAGGGGCTGTGGCTGGTTGAGTGAAAAAAGCGGTCGTTCGTCACGTCGAAGACCCGGGTTCCATTGCGCACTTGGGTACAATGTTTGTACCCATATCTGGCGTCTCCTGTCGTGATATTGCTGGAATGTTTGACGGGCTTTTGTACATATTACTGACGTATAACGTACCAAGTGTTCTGTGGAATCTCAGTGTTTAAACAGTATTATTTAGAACGTAAATATGTACATGTATTTGAAATTTGATACAACATAACGTTTTCGTACGTACCTCTATAGCAATATTCTGCTCTTCCGATCCGTCAATATCTTAAAACAATGTGGGACAGTACCGTGTCTGTGTGTAACAACATATCTGAACATGGGGCGTGTCTGCACTTCATTTCAAGGGTTTATTCGATTGTGAGTTGACAATAACATTAACCTTTGTCTCTACACACACAGACCTGTCACCGCCCACACGCTCTGCCGTTCTCTAAGAGGTAGGTACGTCACGTGACGTTTACAAATGCCGGACACATTCCGCCGTCGTTTACGTCCTCCGCTGCACAGGCTCCTCAAGGATGATTTAGGGTGAATAGCCTTTTGTCTCCAATCTTTACTTTATTAATTCCACAAATAACATTGATGAAGTCGTTTCTCAAGCTGTATTTGTCGAGGCTATTTATTACAATCGAATTGAGATATAAGGCACTCCGTTATCGAGGATGGTGTGAAACACCGTTCGACATAATCTCCGGCCCGGATTGACAGACACCCATTTGACAGACACCCAATTGACAGACACTGAAGTAGAAGGTTAATTTGGGTAACACCTACGGGTATAATGGAACAGTCCACTGTCTAGTGAGTAGAGCAGGGTGAGCCTGAAACAGGTTCGTTACCGAGAAGTTTGATTGTGGGTAAATAGAACTATGAAAAAAAAAATCAGATTCGGGTTTCGAATCCCGAATCTGAAAAAAAATTCTGATTTGGGATTCGAATCCCCAATCCCCAATCCCGAATCCGTTTCTAACTTCATGTTGCTCCCAATAATAGCATATGTGCAAAAGAAGTTAACTGAGAAAACGTTTTGTTGGAGAGATTAGATATGTACATATTTGAAAACATTCTGATTTGCAGTAAATGAGACACCTGCATTGCCATTTAAGATACGATCAGTGTTCTAAATTTAACAATACTTTCTAAAGATTGTAACAGTTTATGTCTTTGAGTAGTATACAATGGACATTCAAGGAAGTAATTAAAAACATTCTCACATCCATGGCCACATTCACATGATGCGTCATATTTTAAGTACATATTCTAAATATATCGGGGCGGTGGGGTAGCCTTGTGGTTAAGGCGTTGGCTCGTCACGCCAAAGACCCGGGTTCGATTCCACACATGGGTACAATGTGTTAAGCCCATTTCTGGTGTCCCCCGCCGTGATATTGCTGGAATATTGCTAAAAGCGGCTTAAAACCAAACTCACTCACTCACTCTAAATATATCTTAATTAAGTGCACTCGTCATATATCTTAATACTGTGTGCAAAACATATAACTTCTTTATTCCATATGAATAATATTTAGGTTCACATTTGTCTTTATTTGATTTATATGATACAACAGCGTCGCAATTTCTAATAGCTAAGCTAATGTTTTCAATATGATGATGCCGACTCCCGTTAGACTAGAAGGTTAAACCGAAATGTTTATGAAAATAAACTGTTTTATATTGCAGCAATAAAAATTCAAATTACTGTCTTTTCGTCCATCTTTAAAAATAAATAATATAGCCTCAGTTTGTTCCTGTGTGTTTATTTGGACTATTCCATTGCAATATGTAGGTAACAGATAGTAGATGTTACTACCGTAAATGTTGTTGTTTTAAGGTGTCTGCGAACTTGCTCTCTGCGTAGTGGGAGGACACCGTATCGGGCCGGCAGTTTCATATGTTTGCAGGCCCTTGTGGCCTTCAGTAAATTATCTGTCAATGTTTTTTCAGCTGGAATCTTTCACATATTGTTTTTCTTTATTAACGTTCGGAAATCATTCATCATGTTACGATACTTCCAGTTTCACTTTCTGGTATTTCAGCGCTTTGAGCGTATTGATGTCAACACCAGTCTTTAACAAATAAAAACTTCTATCAGCGCCATTGGCTTCGCTAATCGAAACAGTGTGAAACAGTGGAGTCTATTTTTTGTTGTTGTCTTCTTTAAAACAAAATGGGCCTGCAGATTTCATTCAGGGCCTGTAGATTTTAAGGCCTACAGGCTGCAGCAGGTCCCGATGGCCAACTGGCAAATTAAAGCATTGACATCTCGTGGGTAATGTACGGTTATAAAGTATTTATTAGCATTACACGCGTGTTTCCCTTCGATGTTCATTAATGTTTGTTTTTTTTAACAAAAGAGGTAATATGTTCGACAGCTTGATTCCTGAGGGTTTCTGGCACGTCCTTCCTGACCCACAACGAAGCACACATGTGGTCTCACCTTAGAATGTGAGTTCATAATTGATGTTGTTCGCCCAGCAGAAAATGGGTACCCGGTGGGATAAGTCAACCTGACTATTAACCTTCAAGCGCCTCACAGGCAGCATGGGTTGTCCGGGGTAGTAATGTCCATCATGTTGTATGCGCTTACAGCATGTCCCTGCGGCGGGGAGTTCAGCACTATATATATATTATTATTATTATCAGGATAGATTTATAGATTTCTATACCATTGTCACGCTTGCTTGTTTAAGTTATCATCCATTACGTGTCCTACCATTGTTGTTACTCACCAACTTCTAAAATGCCGATTAATCAGAAAACCTTATAGTTGCGATATTCAGGTAAAGCTCGACAGTACATATACTGAGAGAAACAAATATAGGAACACAGGAAAATTCAAGCGTTCCTTTAATATTTTCCAGTTTTCATCACCAGCTTTGATTAGAGCAGTGGGAGGAAATCAGAGAATAAATAAAGGAACACTGCCATGAAGTGGTGTTCCCTTATTTGTTTCCCTCAGTATATATTCAGGACGCGTCTTTTATTGTCTATAGGCCACAGGTCCGTAAACAACATATATACAAATTTTACATACATTTACACATGTATACAATAACAAAGGTTGAGTTTATAACACATAGTTATAATGATATATTCCTTTCACAATTCGTTGCTGATGTTCTTATTTCTGAAACAGTTTCTGCTTTAGAGACAAACTTGTGTCTCTGAAATATATTTCTCTTAATTATCTGTATTCTATTAAATCACACAGAACAAAACACGTTTTAGCACATAAGCACTAACTGGAGAGAAGTGAAACGTGGTAATACCGAGGCACTCTGTTGCAATGCATTTCATGTTGTAAATACTTGGTTTCATAATATACACTCTTCAAAAAAGGAAACGAGTTCTGACCGAAATATCGCCGTTTGGACGTTTGGAAGCAGTCTGCTGCTGCGAGACACTACAACGTCCACCACAGCACCATATCTCGATTATGGCATCAATATACCCGATACCCGATGGACCCAAGATCGTCCGAGAAGTGGAAGACAAAGAGTGACCACTCATCCGATTCATCCGTGTGTTTCACCCATGTCACCGGGTTGCTACAGAAACGGGCACTGTGTCTGGTCTTCGAACGATTTCCTACCAAACCATCAGAAATCGTCTGAGAGAAGTGGGAATTCGAGCATATCGACCAAACGTTGGACCTGTCCTGACACGACTACACCGACAACGACATGTCAAATGGTACATGTCAACAGGGTACAGACATGGAACCCCCGTGAACTGACGACGCGTTTGGTTCAGCGATGAATCGTGTTTCCTCCTGCAACGACGGGATGGGAGACAACGTGTCCATCGACGTCGGCACGGACGTTGTGCGCCGAATTGCGTTCGACAGGTGGATAGATTTGGTATAGAAAGCGTCATGGTGTGGCAAGCCATGTCTTACTCTTAGATCAGAGCTAGTGGAGGTTCAAGACAATCTTACAGCAAATCGCTACACCGGCTAAATCCTGTGACCTCACCTCCTCCCACATTTTAACCACCAGAGGGAGCTCAGTGTTTCAACACGACAACGCTCGACCCCACACAGCTCGTATAACAGGGGCCTAGCCAATACAAACGCCAATACATTTACATGGCCTTTCAAACCGTCTGATCTGAACCCAACCGAGCATCTATAGGACGAACTTGATCGACGCGTCCGTAAACGTCACCATCGTCCTTAGACACTTACAGAATTTGTGTCCGCACACGTGCAGTGAGTGACTTGAATTAATGCTGACAATAACAACAATAGATATGTTCATCCGTGTGTCGAATTTCCTATGTTCAAGCTTACTCGACTTATGTACAAGTTGATACATTTCCTTATTTTTGGCCTGTGCGGGTTTTTTTTTGAAAAGTGTAAATTCTTGGTTTCATGTTATAATCACTTGGTTTAATGTTATAAATTCTTAGTGTTTCATGATATAGATACTTGGTTTTTCATGTTACAGATATCATCTTAAAATACGTGGTGTTTCATGTTACATACACTTGCTGTTTCGTGATATGAATTCTTGGTGTTTCATGTTACATACACTTGCTGTTTCGTGATATAAATACTTGGTGTTTCATGTTACATACACTTGGTGTTTCGTGATATAGATACTTGGTGTTTCATGCTACATACACTTGGTGTTTCGTGATATAAATATACTATTCCAAAAAAGAAACGCATAACCCAGAAATCTGTGGTGAAAATGATGTTGTATTTTGAAACATGTATAACTCGTCGACAAATAGAGTTTAGTACATGAATTTTTATATCAGCTTAGAAGAACGTAATATCTATACAACCAAGTGGATAATTTTAGTTAACGGAGACGTTGAGCGCGATGGCGACGACGTAGCACGGTCCTGACGTCGGGTCTCCTGGCTCTCAGTCCAATCTCTCTCAACCTGTTCCGTACCGTTTGACCGGATATCCTCCGAAGTCCAGGCACTCTGGTTGCTGTGCTCTCACTCTTGGCAGTACGACCACGCAAATGTAGTACCCCGATGTACCGATCTTGGGCTGCAGTGGTAACTCGTTGTCTGCCTTCATGGGGACGGTCATTTGTTATACCTTTTTGGCTGTAACGAGCTGCAAGCAGTGATATCGTGCTCAGACTAACATTCAGACGTCTGGCAACAGAAGCTTGATAATCTCCAGCGCGCATTCTTTCAATGGCGATGTTCCATGTCGCAGCGTCAAGACGTGGCGTAGTGATTTGACCTTGAAACGTCTTCAAAACGAATGTCGATTTCCGAAAGTAATCTGGATTTTTATAGCCAGACAGTGCATGCTCTTTGCTGCACAATTT